ACACAAAAGATTATATGGTCACAAAAATTTTAATGTGGATAATGAAGTTTTATATGGTTCATATGAGACCATTAATAATAAAATTTCAGATAGAAGGATTAGATTTTAACTTAATCAACATCTTAATAGATTTAAGAAAGCCTGAAATTTTATATGGTTCATATGAGACCATTAATAATAAAATTTTAGATATAAGGATTAGATTTCAACTTAATCAACATCTTAATAGATTTAAGAAAGCCAAAAAGATTGTTTGGAAGAAGCATAATAATAGACACTAGGAATAAGCAACGTGACAACTTATTTTTAAGTCTAGTAATAAGGATTTTAAGTCTCACTTGTAGTGTTATGGATGTAAATGAATTAAAGTGAATTTGATCAAATACATCTTAAAGGAAGAAATCTCTTTGAATAATAAAGATTAAATGCTCTTGTTTTTTTAAGTATAATCTTCAAATGAAGATAAGACAAAATGTTATAAATGAGAAAAGAGATACTTAAGATTCTATATGTATTGAATTTGATAACGAGTGAATTATTGAAAAGGAATATTTTGTCTACCAAATGATGTTTGATAAATGGATATATATAAATATTTTATTCTTGATGGGAGAGCTCCAAACAAAAAAAAGGAAGAGGGATATTTCTTTAAACCGTAAAACTTATGCAATTAAATCAATCATAAATATTATAATACTTATAAATTTTTTTGTTTCCTTAATAGGTCCAAGAAATTTAACCATTAATATTGACAAAAAGAAAAAAAAATCTAACATAACAATAATGAAATTGAAGAGATAATTAGAAAGATTTATAAAGGGTTTTGTTTCCTTAATAGGTCCAAAAAATTTAACCATTAATGTTAACAAAAAGAAAAAAATCTAACATAACAAATAATAATGAAATTGAAGAGATAATTAGAGAGATTAAGAAAAAAGATCAAGATAAACTCCAAGAGAATAATATATTAAAAAAAGAAAATAATCTAATTAACATTTATTTAAGAATTGAATAAAAATATAAGATTAAGATATAAGATTTAAGCAATATTTATTGTTATATTTTAGTTTTATAAATTGAACATTTTGATTTCATTTAAATATATGACACTTTTAATGTTTTTTAATATAATTTATTTTTATTTAAAAATATTACTTTTATTTATCATATATCTTAACATTCATAATAAAATTGAATTCATTATTAAAAAAAAAAACAATTCGATAACAATGATCAACACACCTATTGAAAAGAAAAAAATATCATCATCATCATCCCATTTGTTACTTAATCCTTTTAAGGAACTAACGTTGCCAGTTACACTGAGTAAATAATATGTTCCTATCCAAACTGAATTCCAACCCTTATTAACTACCTCCGAAACAAAATCACGCCCATAAGCTCAACTTCAAAGGCAGTGCCAACCCGAAGGACTAGAAAAAATTTCCCATAATCTCAGCTTTCGAGTTCCTAAAAAATGCCACACAAACTGATAGATTTCCTGCTTTAAAAGGAAAATCACATGTGTATTGAATAATAACTTCTTATATTTCCATGGCAAGATCACTTTTTCATCTCTTCTCATACGAATGAGAATGTAGAGTAATACAATAAAAGTTAAGGTTAAAACTTTTACAAGAATCAATCAATAATACCGGAAAATAATTTTCAAATCTTATAATAAACAAGAAAGTTACATTTAAAAATGTATTTTTAATCCGTGAAACACACCGGTGGTAAAGAAATCTGTATTGGAAATAAAAAAGCTATTATTTAGTGGTTGTAAGAAAAGACTAGGTTTGATCATGTTGCTGAAATTATAAGTATCAACCAAATTCAATATCTTAATCACATGGTCACCATCTATCCTTTATATGGGTCACACATGTAGACTGCACTGACTAAGAAGTGACCCCATAACCCTGAAGACTTTGTGTTTGTTTTGGATATATATCACTTTTTGAATGGCTAACTTGGCTTTGTCCTTACTAACAAGTGTCATGTAAATCCTCCAAATGTGGCAACTTTCATGTTAGTGCGCCCGGCGTGTTGCTAAATTTGAAGATGCCTTAACACAAAAGTTGAACTCATTAGTGGGATTTGTTTGAATGACTAATAAGCTTATCTGACTTGGCAATTATTGGGCTGGGACTTGGGACATATTCCCCTGTTGAAACATAGTGAATTGGTGTCGTGATGCCAAGAAATTGTTTCTAAAATGGGAACGTCCTCATTGTTAGTCAAGGATTTTTGCCTTGTTCCACATGCAGAGTTAAAAGTATTGGTCATGTAAACAACTTGACGGAAAAGATCAAGCATTAGAGTTAAACAAGAATTGTGACAACATTCCTGAGAAGCAGGTAAGCATATGACAAACAAATGCAGTTGATGCTGCTAGTGTGATGCTGACGCTGCACACTTTTTATCAACCAATCCAAAGGAGAATATATTAGGAATGACCCATCAACAGTAAGCCAATCGTACTTAACCCAATAACCAAATAATTCAACTCATTTCTGGATTGTGCAGGAGAAATCCAGTCTTCTGTAGTGTACTATTTCCCCGAAAATTATTGGATAGTGCCTCAAAAATTGACTAGAAAGAAAGGTCCATTTTCAATCAAAGGTGTTCTAATTTTTGGTTTGCAAGCTAGTAAACGTAAGTATTTTCAATAGAGTTAATTCAATTACAAATTACTACTGTGCGATAGATAGTGATGGATCTGAGGATCTTCTTTCATTAATTCATAAGAATAAACACAAAATTTATAAAAAATACTTAAAAAAATTCATGTTAATAAGAAATATTTTGATAAATATATTCCAAAAACAAAAAATCAAGAAGGTCTTGACCTCACCAAAGTTTTGTAACTCCTATATAATTTATGATTTTAATCTCAAAACATAATGAACATTTAATATATTTAGTTATATATTTACAATTTTATCCTCTCAACCCTCTCAGTATTATAACTCTCATATAATTTATTATTTTATTCCTCTCAAACTTAATGATAATTTAATATATTTAAATATATATTTACAATTTTATCTTTTCACTTTTTCGTCTTTTTTTTTCTTTTATATTTATTTAATATTTATTAATAATATATTATTTCACCCTTCAATATGAATCGTCACGATACCCGCTACTATAAAACATGTTCGCACTCACTTTTTGCACCCGACTAGTTTCTTCTACAGCTCCTATTCATTCCTGAATGTACATTCTGAAAAGTTCATTTCGGAAAGAATAAGAAATGGTAAAGAAATTTGTGAAGGTACAGGAAGAAAAAGTAATCATGTTTAGCTTTGAATGGGCCGCATATTTGTCGCCATCAAAGAAAAGTACTCACTGCAGCACATTCATGTCATAAAAATGAACATTGTTTCATAGTGTTTAGCCGGAACTTTACTACAGTTTCTGTTAACGCCTGAGCTGTTACTACAGTTTTCCCCTGGGCTGCCATCACTTTCTAGGCATGATATTGAACTTTCAGGAACAGCAATTATCTCAGCAACATGCTGTACGACAATAAAAGCAGTTCATAAGGCATAATTACAAATAAAAATGGCTCAGATAAAATCCTAAAAGATTGAACCACGGATAGGCATGTAACGGCAAGTGCTCCTTGATTGAGAAAAGTGCGAGAAGTTAAGTCACATCAGACAATGTGCAAGGTGAGGGGTTAACATCCGTTATACGATCTCGTTCCCAGGTGTAAAACAGAAATGGGAGGACGGACTAAAACAATGTTCTCTTAAAATCACATGGCAAACTATGCAAACAATATTTTTGCTTTTCTAGAAGACTTAACTTTTAATCAATCTGCAATGTGCTTCTGTGGAAGTGTGAGGAACTAGAAGGTGCAAAAAATTTTATCAGTAATAACCACAAGGCATCATAAACAAGGTTTATAACAATCCAAAATCAACACCATCATAGTCAAAGAGCTATCAGCACAGTTGACTTTGGTCTCGATGTGATAATGATGATCCAATGCTGATCTTCCACTTGGCCATCTAGCCCTCCCCCCCCTCCCTCTTTACCCAGATACTTGCACCTCCAATCTACATGTACATAATATCAATGATGATGATGATGAGATAAGCACATTAATATATTAATAGAACTTTCGGGTACATCCATCATGAAAATAGATATCCTTATGCTTTCAGCACATCCAGAAACGTTGCACCCTTTCCCTGCAAAGAATAATTCTAACAAACATTAGGAGTGTCTTAATCAAGTTCTCAAGGTTCCCATACCAGCGTCAGATGATTCAAAACACTGGGACTGTCAATTATTTAAGTTAAATATGGAAAAAATTAATTAGTTTAAAGCTTATACTTAGAAAAAAGATGGTTTACACTTTGCAGAAGGCACAGAAAGTATTAATCGTTTAATAGAAGTAGGTCTTTTGAATTAAACAGTATTCTTTACAACAATAGCATGTCACCGAAAGAAGCCAACTACTGCAAATTTAATTTTTCCCTAATTGGTAATAGTATATTATTAGTACATTTGTAATCATAGTATAGTATATTTTTCTGATAGTGTTTTAGCTTCATCATTCAAGATTGACGGTGTTTGGGATCAAACATTACGTATTTACATCCGTGAGTGATCGAACCCCATTAAGTTCATACAGAGACAAATATAGAGAAATAGCAATTTGTTGGTGTACCTATTCCACCCCAATTTACAATTCACCCTCATGATTGGAATTTTGAAAAGAATAGCCAACCACATTGTTGTATGTATCTAATTGTTTTTCTCCATGCGCACATCTAACCTAGACTCTTCTAGCATAAATCTTCTTCCAACTCATAATCAATCACAAAGGAAAGCTCTTTTTCCTTTTCACTTTAACCATCGTAACCTGCCAATCCTAGAGATATTTTTCCTTGCACATATATATCTACCAGCAAAATCTGTTAACTAAGAAAAATTTGGTTATCAAACAAGGAAAGTGATCAAAATGAAGGTGAGTCTAAACTATGCCCATTAACAACGAAAATTTTCTTTCATTCCTTCAGCCTCATTCCTGCCTTTTCTTATTGCAGTTATTTCAATGGGTGCATCGAAAACTTCGGCAGAATAGTATAGATCCTTTCAAGGATTTCACACTTGGTATTGAGCTGTCCTTCTTATCTTATCTCATCCAATTTTTCATCTCTTTTTCTTAATAGGAATGAATGAGAAGGGATAAATATCTTTAAGACGTTCTCACTTAAGGCTAAAAACTGTCATCAGTCCCACCTAGATACTACTAAAATGTGTGACTGACAGGTTACAGTCAGTCAATGTAATAGCACAATATGTGTATTACATTGATTTTCTGAGCCCTAGCTTATGAATATTAATCTAACCAAAAAAGTTAAAAGACTTCGGGTAAAATAACCAAAAGGTTCTTTGCACGCTAGGCTTTTCAAACAGATCAAGACCACTACTGTGCTTGAACCATCTGCATCCCGCTTTATCACGTTGGTCTTAAACACTAACCTACTGCAAATAAAATATTGTACTTGTATCACTATCCACTTCCCTTGTCCACATTTAACTCACTGACTATTATCCGTTTTTTCTCATATTCCGTATTCCTCTTTCCAGAGTACAAGGAGAATAATTGCAAGAAATCAATGTTTCACCAAGTTATGGAGCATGTAATATCTATCATTAATTGTTAATTTCACCAGTTTAGTTGCTTTTGGACTCCAATTTCAGGAAACCCTTGTACGTGCCTTACAGTGCAGCCAACACTTGATAATCAATACTCCCAGACAAAGCCATGCATCAGCTCCATAAATCAACCGAGTTTCTCAAAGTCACACCAGCAGGAAAATCAAACATCTTATTCTGGGTTGGTTGACAGCAGAGAAGATAAGTCTGAAGAAGAAACACCAGCAATATGCTCAGAGCTCTTTGAAGGTTTTCTAACAATTGGAACTCTAGGTGCAGAAACTGTCACCAATGAACCAGGCACACCAACATTTGCTATGCCTTCAGAAAACATAACAATGAGAAATGAAGAGGTGACAGAAAAAGAACTCAAGCTCATAAGTTATGAGCTTGAGAAATTTCTTGAGGCTGAAAAAGAAGAAAGTTTCCATGATTCATCAGGAAGAAACAGCTATGTTAGCATTATTACACTTAGTGGAAAGGAAATAGATGGACCCAAAGCTGAAGATTACAGAAACAAAGCTGTATGTCCACTGCAAGGATATTTACTGGGGTCCACATTTGAACTACCCGAAACAAAACAAGTAAAGAAAGAGAGAGCATCACTAGCTGAACTACTTTATAGGACAAAGGCAACAAGTCAATATTGTACAGAGACAGAAATAAGAGGAGAAACACAAGTCAAGCAAACACCTAAGTCTTCTGCCATGCACATTATGAGAAAGATATTGAAAAAAGTTCACAGTTCTTCCAAAAGCTGCAACACTTCCAGAAGAGATGCTGATTCGGCTTCAACCCCTAAAAAACTCCACAAGGTTGGTCGCTATTACTAGAACTTCTGAACCACATTTAATAACAAATCCCTTGGTTGTTCTATTACCCATTCCCTTTGATTATTTCCTTATCATCTTTGCAACATATAGCAAATGAAAATTGAAACGTTTGCTAATTACAATAGAAATAATGTAAAAAGGATAAAACCAAACACAAATTATTCAAACTAGATTTCGAGAATCATCAAATTCTCAGATTTAGTAGTAAAAAATTATCAATACGATGATAACATATATTTGCTTGTTTTCATATGGAATAAAGTAAAAATGCTAAATTTTAGAAAATCTGTAGGCAAAATTGTTCCCTCCTGCTTGGAAGTTCTCATATATATATATACTGTTTAATACAAGCTCATATTCTATCCTATAAATTTGCTAAACTGTCATGTATTTATTCCACAGCTGGGTGTCCTAATAAAAGAAAATAACAGTTACAAAATTTTGGCTATACAATTGCATAGGCTTTGCTGACTTTAAATGCCCAGCTTTCCTACGCTAGCAATTTGCTAATTTTGGTGACCAACCATTTTGCCAAATCAATGATTTCCATTGGTTTCCACATTAATTCCTTTGACATCCCCCTCAAATTGATGCTGGTAGAACTATCAATTTGCCAACTAGGAAATTATGATGCTGTCTTGTCAGCGATTTGGTTATAATATCTGCAGTTTGAACAGATGTTGAAACATGAAGAGTGATAATGCTGCGATCATAGGCTTCCTTGATATAGTAATAATCAACTTCTATGTACTTTGTATGTTCATGGTAAAGGGACTTGCTACAATTTGTATGGCACTTGTGTTGTCAACATACAATGAAGTAGGATGTGTTTTGAGAGAATATAAGTTCTGTGACGCAAGCATATTATTTTTAAGTATGCAGCAGACATGGTACCCAGAAACTTGTTTTTACATTTCTAGGAAATCAGAGCATTACCACAAACTGGACATCCAGTCCAATCAGTGTCACTGTAAGCTTGGAGTTTGAGAGATGAACCAATAAGGAAAAATAAATACAATTAGGAGTGCCGAGGAGGTAACGTATTACTTGAGAGAAATATTTAGAGTAAAAAGAAAGTGTACAATGACATTGATATATTGTATTTATATATGAGAGTACAAAAAAGAGGTTAGGATCCTACCCCCAACCCTAACCCTAAATATGGGTTCATACATTAGAAAAATAAAATAAAACATATTTTAACACTTTTCTCAAGTTGGAACATATAAATTGTATGCACTAAGCTTGAAGCATATAAACTGAAAACTAGGTCCTCTTAGAGCTTTAGTTAGAATGTCTGCGAGTTACTCATTAGAACTCACAAACTTAGTAATAAGGTCCTAGAACAAATTCTCTTTGACAAAATGATAGTCAATCTCCAAATGTTTTGTTCTCTCATAAAACATTGGACTGGAGCAATATGAAGAGTCGTTTGATTATCACATATAACTAACTTCATTTGCTCATCATTACAAAATTTCAACTCTTGAAGAAGTTGTTCAATCGACTAATATATAATTGAAGTATAAATCTTACCTTACAAGCTAGTTTTGTAAAGTTGAGTTAAACACCTCTATTTCTCATAGTATGAACTATTAATCAACTCGTGGTAAAAAGTAGGATCTTCAAGAAGGTCACATTCATCTCGTCAATATTAACATTCATTCCATGGGGTTGTCAAGAAAGGTTGAATTGGTGAGGCCTACGTGCTAGCTTAATTAGATCTTGAATATATTTGTGTTGATTTATAATTATGCCTATATGTTCATAATGCACCTCTAAATCCTAACGAGTCCATCATTCAAGATATTTTATATGGGAAGTCGAATGCAACAATTATATAATTCTAGAAATAGCATATTGATAAATAATGATTACTACAATGCCGTCCAAATAAAGAACTAATACCACAAATAAATAACATTTTAGTCTACAAATATTATAAGGTGGTATGGGCACTACACTAGTGGAAGTTTGTTATAAATGTCCTCCTTGAGATCTCCATGCAGAAATGTGTTTTTGACATCTATGTGATGTTAAAACCCAAGAGTGAGATGCAACAAAGGCTAGAATTGTTCGCACTACACATCTTGGCTACTAGATGAAGATCTCATCTTAGTTCAGGTCATATTCTTGCTATTTCCTAGCACAACCTAACAGGCCTGGTGACAATTGATTGAAGCATTGGAGTGGAGTTATATAGAAAACACAAATTTGATACCCAAACGTTTTATAGATATGGGACATGACACAACATGCCATGTTTGATTTTCTTTTAGTGCTAAAAGTTCTGCTAGCATGGATGCTCCATTGCGTGTTTCTAAGATGAAGGAATAAGAATGGATGAGAGGTGAAATGACACCTTTCAAAAGATCTACAAAAATGATTATGATGAGGCCCAGAAGGTAGTAGTGGCAGATGTTGAGTGGCCTTACTTTGTCTTTGGTACATCAAGATACATTTTCTTGTAGAAGAGATAGAAAACAATGGTAGAATAGAAATTGGAAAAGAGGCATGGTGAGCTTCAGAAAGTTACTTATTTTCTTAAAAAAAGGTGACATTTTGAGAGACTTGAATCAAACGAAGATTGGGACCATAACATAGAAAACTGGTAGGAAGAATATCCAAGTAAAACACAATCAATATATTGAGTAATGAGTATGGCCAGCGATTTATTAGGTGAATGATAGTGGAAGGAGCTTCACATCAAAACTTGCGTGGAATGAAGATTCTAACAAAAGGTACATCTAGTAAGTCAAGGATTGTCCTTTCAGCTCCCCCATTTTGATGGGGAGTTAAAGGGCATGACCGCTGAGATACAATACTATTAATTTGTAGGAATTCCTTAAAGAATTGAGGTGTGTACTCCCCCATTATTAGAGTGAAGAATTTCAACTTTTGAAGAAAAGAGGGTTTGAACATAAACATGAAAAAAATTGAACATAGAGAATACTTCATCTTTAGACTACAAGAAATAGGCTCATGTGAAGCGTCTACAATAGTCAATAAAAGTGACAGTATTTGTAATTAGCATGAGATATTCTGCCCTATAAATTTGCTAAACTTCCATATATTTATTGTACAACTGGGTATCCTAATAAAAGAAATACCAGTTACGAAATTATAGCTATACAATTTGCACAGACTATGCAGACTTTAAATTCCCAGATCTCTTATGCTATCAACTTGCTGATTTTGATGACCCTGCCGATTTGGCAATAACTGAGTTACCCATTAAACTGATTTCCACATTAATTCCTTCGACAAAAACAGCATACATAAAGGAGAATCTAAACAAAATCAGCACATGAACATCTGACATTTGTAAAACATATCTAAAGAAAATTAACAAAAAGGACTCCAGTCGGGAATCAAATTAAATATTAAACTAAATAAAACTGTCAAAAAGAGTAAGTGCTAAATGTCACCCCTGGTCAGTAAAGTGCCAGAACAAATTTTGCTATCAAAACAAATTCACAATTTCAATATGAATGTTGAATACTAACTATCATGTTATCATAAATTATTTGGTTCATTATCTGAATATGCAGGTTCTACGTATGTTTCACAGAAAAGTCTATCCTGAAATCCCCATAATAAATGGAAAAGATTGCATTAAACCCCAAAACGGTGAGATACAAAATGTTTCTCAGAAGTGCTTCCATGAATATGATAATGGGAAGTCCACAAATCCAGACAAAGGCAAAAGATTTCATTCTGATACCAAATCAAGGGAGTGGACCCAACACTGTATGACCGATTGGAACCCACCACAGGTTGGGTTAATATGCAGTAGCTCAACTGGACATAATGAGCACTGGATCAGAACAGATGCAGAGTGTAAGTACTACATTCATCTAGAATGCAACTCCTTACACACAAATTTGATAAATATCTTCCATTAGCATCATTTTAAGTATTCATAAAAGTCTCTTCTCCATAAGCCAGAATACACAGTACAATTGCCCTGAATGTCAAGTTAAGGGCCTTTGACACGTAGTCATTATAATTATTTTTCATTAGACACGTAGTCATTATAATTATTTTTCATTAGAATGTTTTATAAGATGTAACATGACGACAATCTCAAACTAATCCTCAGCATATTTCTAGATTTCAATACAAACTAATATATCATGAAGTATCATAATACATGCACGAATGAAGTATAATTGGGTTAAGGTTATGCATTATTATTACTCATTTATAATTTTGTCATTGTAGATTTGGTGCTGGAGCTGTAGCAACTTAAATTATGCTGTACCAAAGTTGTGATGAATTGCTCTATAAGAGAGACTTGTAAAAACTAGTATTGATAATTTGATATAATAATCGCGTTATGCCCGTACTTGATGTACCATGCATTCAATAAATCTGTGTGTTTCCTGACAGCTTCTTAATAAATAGACATGTTTTGTTTACTTTTACTCGTTTGTTATACATTTTTTATTCTCATCTCATTCTTGACTATATATGTGTTATAGAAGAGTACGCATCATCAATCACCAGAACAGATTTCCAGAATTTGGTTGAGGTCAATACAAACTCTCTTCACTAGGGTTTTAAGAGCATGCAACTGACCCTCAAATAAACCTAATGATATGAATGTACAGGAAACTGGTTAAAAAACATAAGAAGCATAATTTACTTTTGAAATGTTAAAATTTTTTAGTTATCTATTAAGCACTCAAGTACCTGAGGACCGCACCCTTAATAGCTAGGGGAAGAACCAAACACTTAATACTCCATTGAGTATCTTATATACTATTCAACATGGGACATACACATCCAATAATACCAAAATTCTTATCATAATGTTGTCCCTTGAGAGCTTCCCTTACTACTTGGTATGAGACTAAGATAAACTTTAAACCTAGTTCAACCTTACAAAAAAAACTTGTAAGATGAAATTTATATCCACTTGTATATTATAATTTCCCCGTATCTCTAGTTTATGTGGTATCTCAAATAATATCCTTATAATTACCTTACTCTGGCCTTTGGCTTGAAACATGGGCAAAACATAGGTGTTCCATAGGCATTTGCAGAAAATTATTGATTTTGAAAAATGGGAATAGCAAGAACTGAACTCCTAACCACTTGTCATAGAGATTGTCAGACCCTTTCGATGATCAAATCATATTTTCATTTTTTCTTTTAATATTTCCTGTCTAAGCATTCAAGGTACAGTAAACATATATAAAGCATTTGAAGATAAAAGTTCAAACCTCATAGCATCTAATGGAGATTGAGAGGGCAATGAGCATAAATTACAATGTTAGAAATTCCTCTTTAAGGTTGCCACCCATTTCCATTCTCCATGATCGATCAATTAGACTAGCAAACTCTCTGAAATGCACATACAAATTTCTATAAGTAAAATTAGTTAGTCACAGAATTGGATAGAAAAAGAAAAGAGAAACAAAAACTTCTCTCTCTATCTTGACAAACAGAATTTATTATGATAGAAAGAGAGGTACAAATATAAGATGACAAGAAATCTTTAAGAACTATTTAGGTTAAATTACTCTGTAAATCCCTCTATGGTTTTATGAAGTTTTTTAATTAAGTCCGTATATTTTGAAACATTTCAGAAAGTCCTTATGATCTAATTTTTTTTGGTAATTAATTCCCTTTGTGTTAACACCGTTATATATCAATTAATTGAAATTGTGACTGCAATATATTGCAAGAAATCCTCGTATAACAACTCATGCATCACTTTCCCGATATTGACAATTATAATATATAATATATAACCTTCACCGGTTTATGGCCTGAACATTGACAATTATAATATATAACCTTCACTGGTTGATTGCCAATGCCAACACAGGCATTAAAAGAGTAGGTAGCAAGTTTGTAAGGAAATTTTGTTATATCAGAAAAGGTAAAAAGAGACTACTATTATATTATAATAAATTGATACTGATAATAAAGAAGGACTACTTATTGTGAAGGAAGAAGTCTGTTCAGTTTGAGGATAGACTCTGTAATCAATGGTGATTAAATTGAATAGATGCAACAAGACACAAAGGGGACTACTAATAATACTAAGAACTTGGTTATAGAAAGAGCAGAGTGTAGTGTGTTGAGTCAATGTCATTGTTTCAGTGAAGATGAGTATGTATTGTAGAGGTCCGTGGGTGGTAGGGATTAGACATAGCCCAGGGATTTTAGGGTAAACAATAAACTGTACTTTAGATTTTGATTCAAACTAGAAAGTTTCAAATCAAACTAAGCTATTTTCATTCTTCAAAAGCAACCTTCAAGCTTTCTAAAGTATCAAAATACCAGTTTCTAATAGTCATGAGTGCAAGGATGGGAACATGATGACAGATCAAGAAGGAGGCTTGAGGTCATATTGTAAATTAGGAATTGTGTATTTTTGAATTGGAACTTGTGGGGCTTCTTGTATTTGTTTTCATCTTTTTGTAATTAAAAACTCTTTTTGGACATTAATTATTATTAGGCTTATTAGATAGCTTGTTAGATGAGTCCAACAGTCTTAGGTCCATAGTATAGGTAGGTTGATTTCTCTAATCAGTTTTGACTCATTTGTATTAAGCTTTATGCTTGGAGAGAAAAATTTTCTTTAGGTTCTTGTGAAGAGCATTTGAGAATAATGCAGCTTTCTTTAGTTAATTGGCTTTTGATTATTCTCTTATTAGGTTTAATCATTTGTTTCTAAAACAGTTGTACATCTATCTTTATCTGATATAAAGAGACTCTTGTATTTCAGTTGTGAGTAACATGGAAAAGAAGTTTCTATCAGTTTTTCTTTCTCTTCTTCCCTCTTTCTCTCAGGAACTATAATATGGTATCAAGAGCTTGAAGGTTCTTTATGGCTAAAATTCATCCCCCTTCCCCTTTCTCTGCTGCCTACGTAAAGATTTCCAAGACAGGAACAGGTGAGTCATGCATCAAGTTGCACATCTTCAACACTTCATCACTTCGTTCTTATTGAAGTGAACTGTGAAGCTGGAAAAATCAGTTCAGCATATGATAGTTGGGAACAAGATAAAATATCGTTGACATATTATAATCTACTTTGTCAAGATTTTTTTCTTTCTAGTGTTCTTGGAAGTGTTTATATGTATCAAGTTTCATGACTATTTTCATAAACAAAAGACAGCAAAAGAGCGACAACTTCACATTGAACTTTGTTCCATGTCTTGAAAATTGTTCATTGGCAAAATTGCTTCTTCGTTAAAAGTCTCGGTTGATTGTCTTACCTGTGGGAGATTTTGCTTCTCTTCAATCTTAGAGAAACTGAACAGAAAAAATAGAAAGAGAATTGAACATGAACTGAATATTTTTATTATTTTGTCTCACTTAGAACCATGGTACAAGATGTATTTATAGATGTAGTTTGCTACTAGCTATTATAAGAACTGACAGCTGTAGAAGTAGTAAAACAGTTTGCAAGTAAGCCTACAGCTGTACAAAGAAAATAAGAAGTTGTACAATGCATTTGTAAACTATACAGGTTAACTATATTGTGTATAACTAACAGCCCCCTCAAACTCAAGGAGAAGATTTTTTTTAGAAGAAAAAACTCTTCACATTGAGTATGATATGAAGAAATACAAAGCGAGTTGAAGACAGAGACTTGGTTAAAACATCCACTCACTGATCAAGAGCTGGAATAAGAGAAATGTACAGTTGCTTGGCCACAATCTTTTCTCGGACAAAGAAAACATCAATCTCCATGTGCTTAGTGCAATTATGAAAAACTAGATTATGAGCAATAGAAATAACACTTTGATTGTCACATAAAAGAGTTGGAGTCCTGAAAGAAACTTGAAGTTCTGTAAGTAACTTGGATATCCATGATAACTCGGCAGAAGTTTGTGCTAAACTCCTATATTCAGCTTCAATACTTGAACGAGTAATGACTTGTTGCTTTCGAGACCACTATGATATTAAATTAGGACCAAGACAATTGTTGCACCTAAAGTAGATCTTCTATCATCAACATTAGATGCCCTAAAGTTTTCAAAGAAACTGGATTATGTAGTGATGTTGGCTGAAAATGAAACCATAAAACAATGTTCCTTTTAGATATTATAAAATATGTTTACCACAGTCCAGTGAGAATCAAGTGGTTCGGCCATAAACTGACAAACTTTGTTGACAGCAAAACTAATTTCTGGCCTAGTAAGAGTGGCATACTGCAATGCACCAACCACTGATCTGTATAAAGTAGGATTTGAGAAGAGATCAACACCATGTTTAGATAATTTGCAGTTGGAGACCATAGGAGAAGAGATTGAATGAGCTTCAGCCATATGGGTATATATTTAGTCCGAGTCATAAGGACAGACTGATCAGGTAAATGTTTGATCTCAAGTCCAAGAAAATAATTCAGTTGACCAAGCTATTTTAAAGAAAATGTTGCATGAAGTTTGGCTGTGATAATCTGAATAAGGCGAATAGAACTTCCAATTATTATGATATCATCAACATAAACCAAGAAATAAATAACCTCTAATTCCTTTTAGTAGATGGACAAAGAAGTATCATAAGTACTATTAACAAATCCAAACTGATGAAGAGTAGTTTGTATACGAGTAAACCACTGCCTTGGAACTTGTTTTAACCTATAAAGAACTTTATTCAACTTGCAAACAAGGATTTCTTAGACACTTAAAAACCTAGAGGTTGTTGCATATATACTGTTTCTTCCGAAAAACCATTCAAGAAAGCATTATTAACATCAAGCTGAAATAATTTTCATCCATAAGAAAGAACAAGAATAAGAATAACTCAAATTGTAACAGGTTTGACCACTCGAGAAAAGGTTTCATGAAAATCAAAACTATGAATTTGATGAAAACCTTTTGCTACAAGAAGAGCTTTACATTTATTGATTGAGCCATCTACATTTTCCTTGACTCTAAAAACCCATTTGCAACCAACAACTTTTCTGTTGAAGGGCAAAGATACCAGATCCCAAAGTCTTTTGGTTCATTAAAGCGTCATATTCTTGCTACATTGCAGCCTACCAATTTTTATCTTTAAGAGCCTGTTTAACACTAGTAGGTTAAGAATGGGATAACAACTGTGTGTTAAAAAATACCAGATTTAGACCTGGTTTGCATGGGATGAGTATTAAGGAAAGGTGCAGGAGGAGACTCTGACAGAAGATGATGAAGCAGGAGAAACTTCTAGTGTTAAATCAGAATCAGATTGTAAGGAAGTGCTAGATGCTGAACTTTCAGTCTGTTGAGGTGGTGACAAA